ATCAAAAGGAGGTTTTTCCTCTCGTTTGGATAAAATGAAGGGAATGGCAAAAACATTTCGAAATAGATCAAATGGTTTAAGCATCAAAGACATGGATGCTTCGATTTACAGGAACCATGATTGCATACAATAGAGAATACCAAACATGCTTGGTTCCAATAAATTTGTGAAATCTGCAAAGCATGCCATAGGTAAGTGGTTTATTTATAGTCATATCCCCCCTAATGCAGCTGGAAATATATATTTACAAATTATGATAGATGAGATTGCGGAAGCAAGAGTGGGGTTTAAAGGCCCAAGTCCTTACGAGATTATTAGGCCTATTTTGGATAACGAAATTGATGAAATAAAAGAGAGTGTTAAAAATTTTAAGAAAAAGTGGGAAACATATAGTGTCACTGTTATGTGTGATGAGTAGACATCAACGACAAAATTATAAATTATAAATTTCTTAGTTTATTGTGATGGAAAAATTGTGTTTCATTAGTTCGTGAATGCTTCCAGTTAGTAGAAGGATGCCAACTATATTTATGAGTTAATGGGTGATGTTGTGGAAAAAATCAGTAAAAAATATGTTGTGCAAGTGATTACTGATAATGGGTCTGCATATGAAAAGAATGGTGAGTTATTGATGAGAAAGAGGAAGTTATCTTTACAAAGAATGTTTACATCTAATGAGTGGGAAAATAATGCAGCAAGTAGGGATCCAATTGGTAAAGTATTACAAGAAGTTGTCTTAAGTAATTCATTCTGGGATAAAGCACATATGGTGTGTAAGTTACATGCACCTATTTCAAAGGTGCTTAAAATGGTGGATGGCGAGAAGCAAGCTACTATGGGTTATGTATTTGAAGGGATGAGGAGAAACAAGCTGGCTATTGAAGCAACTCTCCCTAGGACACATAAAAAGTATTGCAATATAATTGATGATCGATGGAAAAGACAGATGATACAAGACATACATATAACAGGTAACTAGTAATACAATTTTTTTAATCGCTACCTTTTAGTTGATTAGTTAGATGAGGGACCATCACATTTTAGCTCACATGTTCATTGCCATATGACAGTAACTTCCTTTTTGTTTGTGTATCCATCTTTATTTTTTTAAAGCATTACTTACTGAAAACACCTTCTATGATTTTATAAGCATACTATTTAAATACTACATACCACAATGATCAAGAACTTGCTTACAAAGAGGAATTGGTAGATGCTTTGAGAAGAGTAGTGCAAAAGCTTGAGCCAAATGGTGATTGGGCTACAATGGTGCTTGTAGAGGTACATACCAATTTTCTTTACAATGATTTACTACAATAATATATTCGCCTACTAGGAATCTCTAAAAGATCTACCATGTAGGCAAAAACATTTCAAGATGCTATGTATGGGTTTGGTGATGCAACAACTATTAGAGGAAGGTCAACAACTGAACCAGACAATTAAAAATATTTAGATATTTATTGTTTAGAAATCCTTAATTTTGTATATACTTAATATAACAAAGACTTTTTTGAACTTACAAATTACTTCTTCTATATTATAGCCGATTGGTGGCTCATGTATGACACTAATGCACCAAATTTAAGACAAATTGCTATTAGAGTTTTATCACAAATAGCTTCGTCAAGTGGGTGTGAAGAAATTGGAGTACATTTGCTCTCATCCATCCTAAATTTCGCAATCACCTTAACTATCAAAAGTTTGAGAAGTTGGTCTATGCACATTGCAACATGAGGTTGAGATTGAAACATCTCAGGAAAGACAAAAGGAAAGTAGACCTTAACTTTAAACCAATAGATTTGGCTCATTTGTTTAAAGAGGATGATTTGCTCATGAAGTGGTTAGATGATCCAAGAGATGCAGTCTTAGATGAATTTGACGATGAAGAACAACATGCTAGGCCAAATTCTTTTTTGGCTACATGGGTCCAAAGATTGAGTGGACCTCATACAAGTGGCACAAGTTCAAATGAGGCAAGAGAAAGGAACATAGGAGGTAGTGGCCCGAACATTATCTTGGATGTTGACGATGATTTTGAGATATTAATGAGAGGACCATCATTGCATCATACCAGCATTCATGAAGTTAACAATGATAGTGGTGTTGATGAAGATGGTGAGCGTGATAATAGTATCCATGTTGGTGGTATTGGTAGCAATGAGAATATTAACATTGAGGATGTTGGTGATAAAGATGGCAGTTTCTATAGTGAACCGATAAATAATAATCCTTTTTAGTTTTTTGCAGCAACATCACATTGGAGAGAGTCCAATTGGTGAATATTACACTAAAAAGCAATATTTTGATCATGCCACCCATGACCAGAATCATGGTAGTCATCTCTCCATGGGTCATAATAATGATATGCAAAATTGGAGAATTTAACAAGACCTATAATTTAGACAAAATAAAGTATATTAGTCGTAGTTGATTATTATTTTTTAAAACTCTTGAATTCATCTTTTAATTGCTTTGATTTTGTGATGTTACTGTTATTGTTGGAATTTTTTATCAATGCGAGATGATGAATGACTACTTTAATAAGCATTAGATTTAAATGGGACTCATATATGATCCATGCTTTTGCATTATTATTATTATTATTATTATTTGTAATTTTATGAATGAAAGCTCTACATTTTTGTGTGAATGACGATTCAATATCACTTGGTTAAATATTGCATTTGTGAATCGTCTTGGTTAAAGTTTAATAATATTCAATTAGTATAACCACAAAAATTTCTTGTAAATTATATGTTTTCTATTGTTGCTTGCTTTATTGGATTGATAAAAAACCAAAATAAAAACATGGTTGACATAAAACCAATTTCATTCATAAGTTTCCATTTGTTTTTACCAAAATACATCGTTTCCTTGCGTTTCCAAAAATTTCTATTTTTGGAGTCACCAAAACATATCTTTGAAACAAAACTTTAAACCATGGTACATTGAGAAATACAAGTTGAGAAAAACTTTCTCTAACATTTCTATATTTTCTTGTTCATTTCTATCTCTATATTCTTAGTTTTATTACAATGAATATAATTTGTAATTCTGGAATGTTCATGAATATTTGATATATTTGTAAAATATAAAAATTTAGTGGACTATAAATAGGGCATTCCCACTTATATGGCATTGAGTTTGATCTCACAAGAGAGTTATCTAATAGTACACATGTTTTTTCTCTAGGCATCCAATCTATTAGCCACACTTTATATGCATTCTCCTTCATGTAGAGTAACAACTAGGGCAAAAATCCTAACACTCTAATTATCTAGGTTCAACATATCATAAAACTATCTACCCACCTATCTATACTATTTTAAAATAATAGCATAGTTGAAAAACTTATTTTTTTTTCAAATTTTATCCTCCAACAACACAACTATGTCATCTTTATCCTTCCCATTTAATGTCAAGTTAAATCTAATCATAACCTCCACTTACTTCCCTATCTTACTCATCCATTATTTTTCTTCCTATTTTTCAGCTGTTAGTCTGTTTGTCTCTCTTTGTGTCTCTCAAACTTTGTATTGGTTCTCAAACCGAATAGGAAAGAGAAACGACAATTTGGTCTTTCAAAAGTGTTAATCCAAATGATTGAACTGCTTTTCATTTTCTTGATTGGTAGATATATTCTCCTTCTTCTTCAACTTTAGAGGGAAATTTTTCTCAGACTTTTTTTGAGAAATTGGTTTTATATATGTTATTTTCTATTGTTTTACACAGATGAAACAAATAAGAGATGGTAGTGATGATAATTAGCAATTTAAGCGGCTGTTTGGTTCCTCATCATAAGCTCTTTTCTTTTTTACTTTTTCTTTTTCTTTTTTCCTTTTTGTGTATGTGATTTGTTAGATATGCATCCCTAAAGAAATATTTGATTTCCTGTGGGGTTATGTGTTGAGTTGGTAGATTATATTTTTCATCTGGGTTGATTTTCAGGGTACTTTTTGGCACATGTTGATGTTAATTGTAGCATCAGAATTTTTTTTTTTTTCTTTTGATGTTCTTGCACACCATGGAATTCATTTGAGGTATTGCTTATTGATTTACTGGAATTTAGTTGCTATATCGTGTTTGAGACGAAAATACTTTGTGACCCGAAGTTGTTGATACTCCTTTTGCCATCTATATAAGAAACTATGATTAGGTTGTATCCTCATGCAACGACACCTACGAGTAGCAGTTGTGTACAAAATGCACGACACGTATGAGTAGGAGTTGTGTACAAAATGGATGTAGAGAATTTGCGTTTCCATTTCACAGCTGTGGTGTCCCAAAAATTGACTTTAAATCCCCATTTTTCTAGTAATCAAGCTATAGGCAACCACAAGTCCCTGGGAGACTGAGGCAGCGACATTTGTGGCAATGGTAGTGGAACAGGAATAGGATGAGGTACTGGTGGTTAAAAACTATGATTAGGTTGTATCCTCGTGTAAAACGTGCAACGACACCTACGAGTAGCAATTGTGTACAAAATGGATGTAGAGAATTTCAATTGTAATTGTCAATGATAAATTTTTATTTTAAAAAATCTATTAAATTTAATTATTATGCAATGACTTTGAAAAAATTATTTTTGAGCACAAAATTCGAAAGTGGTTCATGCCATCATAAAAATTCATTTGTGATAATCTTCTCTTTTCTTTTTTTTATTTCTATAATGTAACCTTATGTCCATAAATAAATCAAAGTTGCAAATAATTTCATATGATACCATAATAAAAATAAATTATAAGTCAATCAACTGTTTTGAATATAAACCATATTTGTATCCCTATTTTTTCTTTAAAAAAAAAGTCACTTGTTTTTTTCTCCACATCATCGAAATAATCCAATATAAGCAACACTCATCCATGTGATTATATCCTAAATAAATACACTAGGTGAGATACTTACACATTGAGTGTTTTAAAAAATTAGAGGTTAACAATAAATTTTTTTAAAAATATAGGGGAACTAATGAGAATTTTTAAAATTTGAGGGGGGCCATGGCTTCTAGGCCTCCTCATAGTTCCGCCTCTGCTAGTGGTGGCAGTACACAAAGACTCACAGCCAATGATGCACTAACATATTTGAAGGAAGTTAAGGACATGTTTCACAATCAAAGAGAGAAGTATGATATATTCCTTGACGTAATGAAAGATTTTAAGGCTGAAAGGTATATTTTGTTCCCTATATTGGGGCTGAGATGGTAAAATAGGGCATTGCATCAAACACTTTGTTAATTCATCTTGACGACTTGGTTATTGCAGGATCGACACTACTAGAGTTATAGCTAATGGTTGAGATGTTCCAGCACACTTTTTAAGAGCAATAGGGTAATGCTTTGAGTAGATTGGTGTGTTCTCGCCAACTGCAATGTGAGAAAGCGATCATGTTGTACAATTATACTGATATTTTTACTGTCATATCAAAATAAACTTTTAAATCTACTAAAAAGAGACGTTGTCTTGTTATTTATCTTCTTGCATCACCTATATGGTTAATACTATCTGGTTCTCATGGTTTTAAAAGGTAAGAGATGTGTATCTTTATAGTTCAATCAAGAATTTCACACAGTGGAATTCCTTGGTGTTTACACACATGATCAATTTTAACTTTTGCTTTAGCTTGAGCTTTTACAAGCCGTTGGGTTTGCTTTTATGATTTACCCTAAAAAGAGGATGGGGAATTTGATGCTATTTTTGTAATTTATAATGTTTTCTAAGTCAAGGTTATGGTTTTGATTGTCAAATTAAAGTCTCATATGCACCGAATTGGGAAAACTGATAGCAACAAATTAAAAAGGACAAATGGGTCCAACAAGTCCAAGGAGGAACCATTTGGTTGAATATTTTTATATTTGTGATTTGAAATGAGATGAATTCATTACCATTAATATTTTGTGGCTTATATGCTTACTTTAGATCTTTCAACCAAGAAAACTTAAGCTCTTAAGTAGTCATTATGATTTATGTTAAAAGACTGATATCTTATAAAATATGATACTCAAAATGGTCGATATGTAACGCACGTGTGCATTAACTAGGAAGAAAAATAGATATCTCAAACCATTCAACCCAAAATTTCAGTGTTGGCTTACAAATTCAAATATATTTTCATAGTACTTAAAAAAGAAAGACAACTAATAACAGTAACAATAGCAGACAGACAAGTGTACGAAATCAAAAGAAAGCCAATTAAACGAATTCAAGAACAAATTAGATCAATTATGAATGAATTCCCCCTATTGTGCTTAGTAACTAGCCTTCATCATGCTGATTCAACACCCCCTAGGCACTTGAAAGTGTCCAAGCAAATTCTACCTAGCACTACAATATTCGTCAAATAAGAGAGATTACAATCTTGAAAAGTAACTTCTTTTTTCACATCTGTATTTTATATTCAATATTAGACAATTATTTTATTTAATGAATTTATATTACTTTGATACGTTTACAATCAATAACTATAAATCAAGCAAATAAAAAACAGTGACTCTCAATTAATTTCAATATAGTATTCTCATTTTTTTTTTTGGGTGGTACAATTGACTTCTCTAGGAAAGAGAGTACAGAAATTGGTTGGGTAAAAAGAATACGGCACAAACATGACTCAAATTGAATATAGTGGTGGGAGACAACTAGATTTAATGAACTTATCAACATTACATAGTGGTAAGTTTGTTCCTTTGTGATATGGAGGTTATGGGTTCGAATTGTGAAAACAATTTCTCTATTTAGAGAAATAATGCTGCGTACATTTAACCTATTCAAACTTTGCAACAACGAAAGTTCATACACTGAGTACGCCCTTGTCAAGAATACATCCGATGGTTTGGATTTACAAGAACCTGTGTCACATGGGTTTGACAAAATTTGCTGATTCAAATAGGTCTTTTGTTGTTCTTTTGCTTAAAATAGTAATTAAATCATGTCTAGGCACCGAGTTTCCTGATTAACCTGTCAACTCAGGTCGAGTTTAATTTAACTTATAGGAGAAGTGGGAAATATTTGGGGTTATTTATGGGCCCACTAAATTATTTTTTAATCCAAATTAAATTTTGAAGAATAATTTCTTGGTATAAATCGATATTTTTTTTCCCTGATCCCACAAAGTTGAAACATTCCTAGACAATGGATTCAATAAGAAAAGTAGACCTCACATTAATTTTAACCCATTGATTTTAAGTTATTAAATAGATAAATAAATATATATATATATATATATATATATAATAGTGTGATCATAAAAACTCTGCACCGTAGTCTCTAGTGATTACTTTTTATGTAGACAATTAGATCATGATCTAACGGTCACCAACTAAAGATGCTCAAAATTAATTATTAATACCTGCTAAATTTAGTTCTTAACAAAATAGGAAATATCTATGACATATTTATTATGATCTAGTCCTATTAAGAAATTCTTAAAGTTAATAATGACAAAAAAAATTCTGACTCCTATTAAAAATTAATGAATCGATCCAATGACCCGAATGATTTTTATCTTTACCCATCTAATTAATTATACCCATTTAAGTTAAAAAAAAAAAACTAAAAATCTTTTAATCAACCCATCTCCTCTCATCTCGAGATTCACATACCCGCGATGCCAAGATTCATGTACTATGTTTTTTGTCGTGATAGTGCTTTTATGTGTATATCTATTTTTATCAATATTATCAGAACTGGATTGTTCATCGAACTAGCAAGAGGATCGTGTCAATGGTTTACTGGTTCAACTGTTGAGTCTACTGGTCGGACCGGTCATATAATAAAAAAAATAAAAAATATATATATAATAATTATAAAACTTAATAATTTAACTAAAAAATATAAAATATGTATAAAAATACATAAAACTTGCCATAAAATTAATGAAATTAAGTAACACAGTGTGAGTTATTGTATTTTAAAGCAAAGTAAAGAGGTTCAAGTAAATTATAAAGAAAAAGAAGGGGTGTCATTTATAATTTTTTCAAGAATAAGGTTAAAAAAATTAATTATTTACTGATTTACGGCAAAAAAAATTTATTTATGTAATTTAATTTTTAAAAACGGGTTTTTGTTAAAAACCGGTCGATTTTCTGGTTTTTAGCCGGTTCACTTCCTTAAGCGATTCAACTAAGGAATCGGACCGATTAGGGTCCCGATTCACGGTTGAACCGGTCTGACCGATCGATCCGGTCCGATTCTGATAACAACTGATTTTTATACAATAATTGTAGAATTAAATTTTCTTTAAAAAAAAATTATTTCTCCAACCGACTGATTGCATTGGAGTTGAAAGAAAATTTGATTCTGAAGTCACTGCATAAAAGTAGATATATGTATAATAGCACTATCACGACATAAAACATAGTACATGAATCGTGGCCTCGCAGGTATATAAATCTCGACGTGAGAGGAGATGGGTTGACTGAAATTTTTTTAGTTTTTATTAACCATCTATAAATTTAAATGTAAATTTTATTTCTCTAACCAATAGATTGGATTGGAGTGGATATTCCCATCCAATTTGACCCAATTCAACCATCCAACACAGATGCAAATGTAAATTTTCACTCACATCGGTTGGAATTTATCATAATTTTCAATAATACATTCATGTTTCTAAATATATTGGCATTTTGGCTTGGATTAATTTTTCATGGGTATTCATATTTAATAAAGCTCGAAGAAGACCAAGGGAAGCTGCAACTATTATAATACTTTTTTCTCCCGACACCTCAAATATAAATCAAATTCCAGCAGGCCATCGCAGTCCTGAAGCGTCTTTAGGCAAAAATAGTAATAAGATGGATGATCTTCTAGACAGTCCTCATGTTGCATCCTTTTAAAAAAGTGAAAAAAAAAAAAAAATAGTTTCCAACTCATCGGACCACATGACCTTGTACGTGGATCAAATCACGTCCTTCTTGGTGCAAATAGCAATATTAAACTTGATATGCGTACGATTAGTATTTTTTTTATTTTTTTTGTCATGAGCATACGATTAGTAATGGATGGTCACCTTTTCATTTATAATCATTTATATTCGAACTCTTATTGTATTTGAATGTTATATATAATCAAGAATGTATATTGTATAACTAGGTTTGTACATACCTATTGGAGAGAAATCCAATTATGTCCAAAACTCATTAAAATTAAATTTATATTTAACAACTTCTTGTCAATTAATACATAAACTTTGTTCTTGTCCATGGTATTTGATCTTTGATAATTCGAGTTGAGGAGATGATAAAGCTCGATTTTATATTTAATAAACTTAGATTGGTCAGATAAAATTTGACAATGATAATTCTAACCTTCGTAAGTTTAAAACAAATCAATGTAATACTAACATTGAGTTGACTTTGTCAGATATTTGCCAACAATTTCTTAAGTTTATGGTAATGTTGCCAAAGAATGAAGAGGGAAAGATTATTGGGAAAATTACAGTAGTTTGACACTTAACTAGGAGTAATTTGTGTCTGAATTCACTGTACATTGTGAATGATTTTGAGAGAGATCTTGGTAGTCGTTGGATGAGTCTATTTGAGACCGTCCAATTGACTTATTGAATTTTATATTATAGATCACTTAGACCCACATTTAAAATATTACATACAGATCTCTTAAAGCTTAACACTTAGTACTTAGACCTCTACTTAAAGCTTAACACTTAGTACTTAGACCTCTACTGTCAAGGTTCATTAGCATATCTATTAAAAAATTACACTTATATACTCTAAAATTTGTAAGCGTGTAACACTTAAGATTTCTCAAATTTAATATATTACATTTATATCCTTTATTAGTTATGGTACAAACGAAATCTATTGAATGATTAAATTATCCAATTAAAAATAGATTATATTATGTCTATTATAGTTTGATCTCTTATTTAATTTTTTTAGTTTTATTTTAATAGACAATATAATTGTATGCAAATGAGTATTAAATTGAGTTCTGTTATTTATACTGATTACTATTTTTTTTTTCAAAAAATTGAAATTTTGTTTTGTTTTTATGTCAATTGATGATATAATAGAATATGCAAATGTGTTAATTAGGTTTATTTCATATGTTCCTACATGATAATGGTAAAATTGACCCTAGGTAAAAAGTTCATTTAATTCAAGATGTTCCAAGTATGTCACTCTTAGCTTCTAAATACAGTTTATACCTTTGAATCTGTTACTGATTTAGACATTAGAGAGTCGACCCTTAAAGCTTCTCTCCAGTCTCCAACTATTTTTCTTCAGAAGATCGAAGTTCATTAAACTAACGTGGAGGTTATCCAAATTTTGGTATCAATGGTACTAATTATAATTTTTTTAACCAAAAAAATTAATTTTTATTTTTGATTTTATTTTAGTAGGTAACATAATAAAACATGAAATTTTGGTAGTAAAATTTATATATTTAATATTCTATCTTTAATTTGAATACTTTTAATCTAAGTGTAATAATATTGTATATTTGAGAGTTCAAAGTATTATACGCTTTAAATTTTAGGGGTTTAGATATAATTTATAAATGGATATATCAACGATATTACTGTAGGGGTCTATGTGTTATGTATGTATAAATTTTAAAGAGTCTATATATAATACTTTAAATGTTTAAAGTCTAATTAATTAAGTAACAAACTTGAAGAGTCTACGTGTAATGTTTCCTAATAAATAATATTTTCTCTTCGGCACGTCTCAGCCACAAAACTCCTCAAGGTGGGTGCCATAGAGATACTGACGATCGCACAGAATGTTGTACTGCGTGGCGGAGAATATGCAAAGATCCGGCGATGTGGCGAGTCATGTATATTCACATTTCGGAGAATTTGTTCCACATGAAATCTGTTCTTGATAAGTTTGGTAGGCGCGCCGTTGATCTGAGCGAAGGGAAATCACTCGAAATCAACATTCAGTGCATTGTCACCGATGGGTAGCTCCAGTACATTGCCCAGCGGTATAGCATACTAGAAATTCATTTATATATGCATTTAGTGCTATATATAATTAAGGGTATTTATTTGTTGCTTATGTGGTTTGCTTGAGTTACACATAATCTTCCTTACTATATGCACACAACCTTCTATGATTGATTCCTAGGATTTGTATTCTAATAAGAAATTGTCTTAATTTGGTTTATTTTTGTGGATTTGAGGTTTGTGGTAGTAATGTCTTAAAGTTAAAGATAGTAGAGTGACATGAAATTAGTGTCTAGTTCAACAAGGAAGAAAACAGTTATGAAATGCGTGTGTTAAAGTTGCTGTTGGAATTATTTTGTTTGTAATGATTCTTATACCACTTATTGGGAAATAGGATATTATTGTCTTGGTCTCACCTACTACACTTAGTACACTTTCTATCTCATACGTACATGTTCATTCCCTCAAGGCCTTAAGCCATATTATTTTGTTATTGGGTAAGTTGATTATGAGCACTATTACACTCAAACATCTTTAACCATTATAAAAAAAAAAATGTGTGATTTCATTTTCAACACAAAGTTTACCAGTTGTTTAACTTCATTGCATATATCATAATCAATGTCATAAACATTCTCACTTGGCAAAAACTAACAAATAACAAGCTAACAAACAGCTCGTTCTCTTATAAAAACGAAATTCACAACTTTATTCCATGTTTAATCTAATAAGTCATCGTGATCTCTCTCGCGCTCATGATTGGCAGAATTGAGCAGCTGCTGCCAGATTATCCCAATAAAGCTCACCTATCCATTGCTTTGAAGACTCATCATAAACTGCATACCTCGCATTCGCTTGTATTCTCCACCGACAATTACTCCCACATTTTTTCTTAGGAAATGGACAGAAATACCCGTCTACTGGCCCGAACCCGTTGTTATTGTTCCGAGGGTTATCCCATTCCACCATGCACATATAGTCCGTCACGTCGGAAACTCCGGTGGTGTTGAATGTCCAAGTCTCTGAAGTGTCCACGTACTTCCATATGGTGTTGGGAGCACAGTTGATTAGGGCCACGTAGTTGCATTCATTGGTCATTTCGATTCGCGGCGGGGTTATGTCTTTGTGTGGCGCCGTGGGGGGAGAAAGAGATAGATTTTTGCGGAGGGGCAGTGGCGCCGGTGCGGGGGTGGCGGTGATGGCTGATTTTGAGACCATGCAGAAGAGGAAGACGAGGAGAGGTACAATAGCAGTCGCCATTGTTGTTGTGGTGGTGGTGGTGGACTTTGATGTTAATTTCAACTCCTTTTTTTTATAGACGGAGGAGCCATGAATGCTTTTAAGTTTTGAGCTGATATCAAGGGTGTCATTAATGGCAAATACAAAACTGCTTTGCAAAACTTAATGTTATATATATACAGTTTCCTTAAAAGTATCTTTCTTTAGCTTTTAGGTTAACGTTTTTTTTTTTTATCAAATACGAGGTAATTTATTTTGGAACTAATGGAACCCTCGGTCCAACGTAACTGAGAAATGATGAATTTGGAGTGAGAAAATTCAATATTAATGATTTGATAGCTGTTGATAGTTATTGAATGAGACTATTTGAGATCATGAGATAAATTTATTAAAATCTATCATATTATATGTTAGTGATAACTCGTGCATAAAAACACGGTACAACATAAATTAATGTAAATGATTTTAAGAGGAATATTGGTGGTTGTTGGATGAACTTATTGAAGCATGTTGGATGAACTTATATGCTAGGGGTGACTCGTGCTTGAAAGCACGGTGCAACTTAAACCAACCGATTAATTTGGAGAAGTGAGTAGTAAAGATCTTTAATAGCAGTGGCAGAACAAAAAAATATGATTGCAATTTCTTCTTTTTATATCGTTTTCTGTATAACTCTCAATATCATTTAGTAATGCTACAATCGATGTATCTCAATGTTATCCAAGCCATGGCTACAAACCCTGAACCATGATCCAATCACCCTCAAGATTAGTGCTTGTTCCGATTCAAAAACTGCAGAATCAAACATTCAAGTTCATAATTCCAGCATCGTGGTTGTCCAGTGTGTTGGAATGGAATGCTTCTTGCTGGGAGGTACCACAAACAAACAAGAGAGCAAAATGGGGAATAGTAACTAGTTACCATTGTTACATGCAGTACATTCATTTTGAGCCAACCATTTTTTTCAGTTGGTAATCCAGTTTACTTTATGAAAAATTTCATCAACACTTCCTGTAGTTAAATTTAAATTCAATGACATCCGGCGATGTGGCGAGTCATGGATCTTCACATTCCGGAGAATATGATCCACATGAAATCTGTTCTTGATAAGTTGTGTAGGCACGCCGTTGATCTGAGCAAAGGGAAATTACTCGAAATCAACATTCAGTGCATTGTCACCGATGGGTTGCTCCAGTACATTGCCCAGCAGTATAGCATACTAGAAATTCATTTATATATGCATTTAGAACTATATATAATTAAGGGTATTTATTTGTTGCTTATGTGGTTTGCTTGAGTTACACATAATCTTCCTTACTATATGCACACAACCTTCTATGATTGATTCCTAGGATTTGTATTCTAATAAGAAATTGTCTTAATTTGGTTTATTTTTGTGGATTTGAGGTTTGTGGTAGTAATGTCTTAAAGTTAAAGATAGTAGAGTGACATGAAATTAGTGTCTAGTTCAACAAGAAAGAAAACAGTTATGAAATGCGTGTGTTAAAGTTGCGGTTGGAATTATTTTGTTTGTAATGATTCTTATACCACTTATTGGGAAATAGGATATTATTGTCTTTGTCTCACCTACTACACTTAGTACACTTTCTATCTCATACGTACATGTTCATTCCCTCAAGGCCTTAAGCCATATTATTTTGTTATTGGGTAAGTTGATTATGAGCACTATTACACTCAAACATCTTTAACCATTATAAAAAAAAAAATGTGTGATTTCATTTTCAACACAAAGTTTACCAGTTGTTTAACTTCATTGCATATATCATAATCAATGTCATAAACATTCTCACTTGGCAAAAACTAACAAATAACAAGCTAACAAACAGCTCGTTCTCTTATAAAAACGAAATCCACAACTTTATTCCATGTTTAATCTAATAAGTCATCGTGATCTCTCTCGCGCTCATGATTGGCAGAATTGAGCAGCTGCTGCCAGATTATCCCAATAAAGCTCACCAATCCATTGCTTTGAAGACTCATCATAAACTGCATACCTCGCATTCGCTTGTATTCTCCACCGACAATTACTCCCACATTTTTTCTTAGGAAATGGACAGAAATACCCGTCTACTGGCCCGAACCCGTTGTTATTGTTCCGAGGGTTATCCCATTCCACCATGCACATATAGTCCGTCACGTCGGAAACTCCGGTGGTGTTGAATGTCCAAGTCTCTGAAGTGTCCACGTACTTCCATATGGTGTTGGGAGCACAGTTGATCAGGGCCACGTAGTTGCATTCATTGGTCATTTCGATTCGCGGCGGGGTTATGTCTTTGTGTGGCGCCGTGGGGGGAGAAAGAGATAGATTTTTGCGGAGGAGCAGTGGCGCCGGTGCGGGGGTGGCGGTGATGGCTGATTTTGAGACCATGCAGAAGAGGAAGACGAGGAGAGGTACAAAAGCAGTCGCCATTGTTGTTGTGGTGGTGGTGGTGGTGGACTTTGATGTTAATTTCAACTCCTTTTTTTTATAGACGGAGGAGCCATGAATGCCTTTAAGTCATGAACTGATATCAAGGGTGTCATTAATGGCAAAATACAAAACTGCTTTGCAAAAAATAACGTTATATATATGCAGTTTCCTTACAAGTATATTTCTTTAGCTTTTAGGTTAACGGTTTTGTTTTAATATCAAATACAAGCTAATTTATTTTGAAACTAAAGGAACCAGGGGCAATGTAACTGAGAAATGATAGATTTAGAATAAGAAAATTCAATATGAATGATTTTGATAGATGTGAGTAGCTGTTGAATAAGTTCATTTGAGATCTTCGAATAAATTTATTAAAATCTATCTTGTTATATGTTAGGAATAACACGGTGCAACGTAAACCAATCGATTAATTTAGAGAAGTGAGAAGTAAAGATCCTTGATAGTTGTGGCAGAGCAAAAAAATTTAATCTATGGTGGGCACACTTGAAGTATAATAGATAAAAATAATATGATATATTTTTATTTTTTTATATCGGATTTGTTACTTAAAAATTCATTAAACATAAAAAAGTGTTTGCTTGAAAAAAATTAATAAAATAACATCTATACATTAAGAATCAATTATATAATTTAGTTGACACAAATGGAAGAAATATTCTATAATTTTTAATCCTCTTAAAAATTTCACATTTTACTCATTTTTAGCTATATATTTCATAATTTTTGAACCAAATTAGACTTCAACGATCATAATTGATGGTACCAAAAAATACCCGAGGTTGAGCTTGGTTTTGCAGCCCAGATCGCCCAAGTTGGGAGCCTAGTCTAGTGAAGACCTTGAGTCTGAGTTCCAGACCTTGAGCTCCCAAGACTCACTTTTCGTGGTAGGCAGTACAGAAGAACGGCTGTCATCCACCAAATATCACTCCTTAATAACAACAATCGCGTATCAAGGCACCAAATTCACATTTGCCTCCTCATACCGCACAACCATTACCCAAATCAAGCAACCGTTACGAGAGGGAGAGGTGAAGATCTCGCCTCAGATCTGATGAAGCACAGAATTAGCTATAAATATGGTACAAAGCCCTCGTTATGGGGGCAAGACATCCAAGTTTACTCAAAACGTTGTCTAATACCTTCCCCACTATTAATATTTCCACCAGAAGCAAGAGACTCGCTTGTAGAGTGGATTAGCCGAACAGTCGAATTGGTAAATCATTACAATTCTTATGTGTAATTGATCCCATTTCCCAAAAGGCACCTACTCTCAAGAACCTTGAAGCTCTAACTAACCTCGTCAGAACATCACTTAGGTCCCCATTTTGCTCGATTGCGTTATATCCATCATTAATACCAATATTTTAAAAAATCAATTTTATTTTGTTAATTTTAAGAGATTATGAACTTTTTGTTTTTATTTTTTTGTTCTAGTGCCCAACTCGTTTGACCTAATTAATTTTGTTTTCACTAATACAATTAGAACATAATTTAGAGGTTTAATGTATTATGAGCATTGGATTGACAGTGTTGGGACCCAGTGATAATTTAATGTTAAAACCCATTGACAATTTAATGACCACAATCAATAATTTTTCAAATTATATTTCAATAGCATTGCTCGTTTGTTTTTCATAAATCATTACAGTTGGCCCAATTAATCCAAAAAAAAATATAAAACATAAATAACTAAAAATTTTTTTTTTTTAAGGTTTCCCCAGGCCCCTCCTGTCCCTCCTCCCCTCGCCACTGTCAAAGAGAGAGTGAAGAGTGGTAAAAGGAAGGTAAAATTTAATGTGAATAATTTTGAAAAAGATGTTAATGACCATTAGATGAGTTTATTTGAAATCGTTAGACGAGGCTTGTTGCAGTCGCCCTATTTTATATTATAGATATTATAGATAAATTCACGAATTATGATAAAATTTATTTTAAAAAACATTAATTTGTATAAATCAAATCAAAATCGAATATTAATTTATATACATATAATCAAAATTGAGTCAAATCTAATACAAACTAAAAATCTAATTTATCAAAAAACATATTACCAAAATATTTTCTACCAAAAAAAGATCTACAAATATCATTTATAAAATATTATTTTTTAATTAGTACAAGTTATTACAAAATTATTAATTTATAAGAATATATTAGTGTTAGATTTTCTTAAGAGATAAAAAAAATTAGTCTTGATTGTTGGATGAATGAATTTGAGACCGTAGGATGTGTTCCAAGATCAATCGTAATCGTTAATCACTTGATCGAAGAGAGAATATTAAGGAAAAAAAATGGTAATTTATTGACCGTTGGATTAATAAATTTGAGACCGCAATATTTATATATATATATATATATATATATATATATATATATATATATATATATTGCTCTTGCTCTAGCCTCCTTGGTTGAGAAATGAAAAAAAAAAAATCCAACCTCGACTCCATAGAAATAAAAAAAATTATTGCGTCCGGACGGAGTCCATTCTCTACCAAAACTTTTAGAGACATGTCCAGACTCAGGCCGGGCCAAGAAAAATTGAGGTCTTAGGCAAAATTTTTATATGGGCCCTAAAATTACTTTTAGATGAATATTATTTATTTTTATTTTTAAATATTTAAATTTATATGTTTTAGTATATGTGTTTTTAAGGTGAAAAATAATTTGTAAAACAAACACATTTATGTAACTGATTAAATTAAAATTAACTTAACTCAAAATTTATAGGTCAAAAAAATATAATTGTATAAATATGTCCAAGTTATTGCTAATTCAGATAAAATAAGACCGTAGAATCTTGTAATTTTTTGTACAAGAACATGGTGATATTTTTCTTCCTTTTGAATGTATATATATTTATGACTTAAATAACAATATTTTAAAATCTTTTAATCATTTTATGAAACATCTTACTTTTTTTATATAAAAAAAAAATTATTCATATAATTTTGTGAAACATATGTGAGCAAGGGCCCTAGGCAAGTGAGGGCCCTAGACGATCTCCTCACTAGCCTGGGGGTTGGGTCAACACTGGTTCAAACGAAACTTTTACGTCCGGACGGTTCCATCTTTTTGTCCAAGACATGTTTCATGCTAGGCACTCTTCTAAATACTATGTTTTTGGTTCTTCATCTTCTAATTCATCCATATCATTTTCTTAAGGTTTTTCGACGCTCCAAATCTCTTTTTTAATGTAATTTTTTTCTAAAAAACTTCAGGAACTCACTCACTTTCTTCTAATTATGATCACTGGGTTGGAGGGAAGCGGGATACTCCATTGCAAGCTGCCCAAAAGAAGGTAGATCCAAATGCGAAGCAAGCTAAGTTGATTACTGCTTGAAAAACTGTCAAATTTGCATTCCAACAAGGGTATAGAGAAATCCGTTAGGAAGGGTACAACAATTGCCTTTAGCGGGACTACTCAATTTGTGCCCTTTTTTAGTGTTTTTTTTACCTCTTTATGAGTGTTTTCTCCTCTATCATACATTTATCGTTCAGCAATTATAATCGTTGATTCTTTATTACTATTATAATTTGTCAATAAAAAAGATGACCTAGTGTACGAAACTTCCACTACCGCCGATGATTATCTAAAAAGGAAATGTGCAAAAGGCGAGTAATAAAGTGGGCAATGCATTGACTAAAAATGCTAGGTTCAATTGTGCATCACCTATGAATCACAACTGGTAAATTCTAGAGCAGTAGCATGGAAGAACTTACACCCCAAGAACCGAGCAGACAAATTTGGGTCATTTAGATGAATAAACCTCAATCGATACGTGCCCTTTAGTACTTGATTACCTCGAGTCCCTGGATACCACATTACCTCTCATGCATCCAAGTACGATCCAACGTAGTCAAGTTAGCCCCTTGACATTATGCAACAGATGATCTAAGATCGAGAGAATTGGAGAACCTAACACTCAATTTTGCTCTCATGATGAATTTTGCATCTTGTATAACCACCATTGCCATCTCCCATTCCTGGTGCGTAAATCATGATCTATGAAAACTTATGTAGAACAAGAAAAAATGTATAATTCCATAAGAACAAATATTCAAGCAGTTAAAACAAGCTTTATCCAAGGCCAAGACTACCCTTGATGTCCAAGAGTCCCACCCTGAGCTCAATCTCTTGGCCTAGACTTCAAAATGAGTCTCAAGTAACGTACATAAATTGCTAGCTCTCTATAATAGGCACACAAAACAACAGAAAGATGTTCATCAGAATGAAAAGAAAACAGATACACCCCATGATAGCCTGAACAATGAACAGTAAGGCTGAAAAACAGGAAGTTGGATACAGAGTTAGCCATCAATATAAGAGAGGGGAAAAAAGGGAGGGGAAAAGGAGAGGGGCAGGGAGGAGATTGAAAAACCCAAGTTACATCAACAGCAACTGCAACAGATTGACAATGCCATTTCAGTTTTATCCACCTCCCAAAAAACCCATACTCTGCTCTTGCAGAGAGCAACCAATCTCAACCTATAAACACCAAAATATCATATTCCGTAGTTTTAAACTGATTTTCATGGTCCTTTTTTCCCCTCCCCCCATACACATATATGCAGGCACACACCCAAAAAAACGTGCTTGCAAATATGCCATAAGCTCTGGATTTCCTCACCTTCAATAGATTTCAAAGCCAACAAACCCATTGATCAAAAAACAGCACCTCAGTCAGAAAAGTCTTTGCTGCCGCGAGGAAATCAATAATACTCATAATCATAGGGGAAAAATTCAATGTCAGACAGGCACTCCTCATCACAGGAGTCACTCTCACTAGTTTCAATATCTTCAATCTGCTCAGAATATCCTCTTCCGAGATTCCCTGCAATACTAACGCTTAAACACTTCTGCAAATCAAAGGATTCCAGGTGAGGACAACTATCAACAATGGTCGGCAGACCATCTCTTGTCATCTTATGTCCAAAGAGTAGAAAGTTGCGTAATTCGGGCATGTTTTCTGCAATAGCTAATGCCTCCTCGTCACCAGCTATGTGTGAAGTTCTCCACCTTATCCTGACTATTTTGAATGTCTTCAGCAGAGGGCAACAACGTCCAACAGCTTCAATAGCTTCTTAGCGAATTGGGGTGTCGTACATGTAAAGCTCCTCCAATAAGGGTAATGTTTTAACTGCCTCACTCAACCCATGATTCCATTTATCTTCTAAAGCGGGCAACGGCAGCTAACTTGCATTCATAAACCTAAGTAAGTTTGATAATGAATAAGTAAATTGAGTACAGAAACAAGCTCAGGCCCCAAATGAGGAAAGGTAGAACAGCTGAACAGGACACAAGAACTCAAATCAGGATGGATTCCACAATATCATTTCTACTTCTGAGTTCAAAAAAGCAAAAGCAAGCAACAAACACTCAAAATTCCACCCAGCTATTATCAATATTGATATAGGTTATATCTAAAAAAGCAAACATATCCATAAATATTCATGGGACTGTGAAAAAAAAATTAAACAATCTAAGCAAACATGTCCATAAATATTCATGCGGAAAAGAGATGCGTTTAAAAGTCCTTTGCCACCAAAGCCTAAAAAGATGCCAAGAAATAGATCCATTCCCAGTTCCCATAGCCCTTCCACCACTTCCTCTATATCTTCAAATATCCTTGAATTCCTCTCATGTAACTTGCACATGGGAGGTTATTGGCATGATAAAAAACATCTAAAGTCTTGGAAATAGAGGGAGAGAAAGAGAGATGAATATGGAGTACCCTTCAACTCTCACTCCCCAGTTGCACTACCCTCCAATGCCCTCATCACTCATCCCCAACAATCAATTCTCACCTCTACAGTCCCAATCACGGCCACACTTCACTCTCCCTCCCCATGAATCTCCCACAGGCTTTGTCACCTAGCTATCAACCCACAAGCCCTTCCCACTAAGGAAGAGAATAGAGAGAAAAAGGAAAGAGATAGAGAGGAAGAAAAAATTTGGAAGAGCGGGAATCCTCCATCTACAAACCTCCCAACTATACACCCACAATCTTGGAAGTCTACGTATTGTTAACCCCATCGGGTCATCATCATTCAAAGCCTACAATCGCCCCAATTCTTGCGAGTTTCTATCAGTCCATAAACATCAATCGGTAATCCATATTGTTAACTCTATTAAATTCTAATTGAGTTAACTAGCAAAAGCCTTCCCTTACTTTCCCCTCTTCTCTCTTCTTTTCTCTTGACCCTTTCTTCTTCTCTTATTTGGTTAGCCTACCATTTTTTTTTCTAAGACATGCAACTTCAGCCCATAGGTCTAATGTGTTCAAATAAGAAAGGAGTCTCATGATTTTCACGTGACTCAAGTGTATACTTTGCCGCCAAAAATTATTTAGTATTTTTATTTATTAGCCCCTGAATTGGTCATGTGCAATGTTATGCAGATAGCAGGTCGATTTGGTACGTGGTACAAGTATAACTGCTTGGTATAGGATTTCTTCTAACACGCGATACGATGAGGTTAGACTTAGTTGATACGATGTTTTGAGTTGTGGATCATTTTCAATTAAATCACTTTTATATTATATGAGATTATATTTAATTGTACCTTCATATACACATAGATAACAAGTATTTATTTTGGAGTCCAAAGTTACAATTTGGGGCAAGAAATTTATGCAATCTGGATTGGTGAGTCTTCAAAGCAATGGATTGGTGAGCTTTATTGGGATAATCTGGCAGCAGCTGCTCAATTCTGCCAATCATGAGCGCGAGAGAGATCACGATGACTTATTAGATTAAACATGGAATAAAGTTGTGGATTTCGTTTTTATAAGAGAACGAGCTGTTTGTTAGCTTGTTATTTGTTAGTTTTTGCCAAGTGAGAATGTTTATGACATTGATTATGATATATGCAATGAAGTTAAACAACTGGTAAACAAAGACAATAATATCCTATTTCCCAATAAGTGGTATAAGAATCATTACAAACAAAATAATTCCAACCGCAACTTTAACACACGCATTTCATAACTGTTTTCTTCCTTGTTGAACTAGACACTAATTTCATGTCACTCTACTATCTTTTAACTTTAAGACATTACTACCACAAACCTCAAATCCACAAAAATAAACCAAATTAAGACAATTTCTTATTAGAATACAAATCCTAGGAATCAATCATAGAAGGTTGTGTGCATATAGTAAGGAAGATTATGTGTAACTCAAGCAAACCACATAAGCAACAAATAAATACCCTTAATTATATATAGTTCTAAATGCATATATAAATGAATTTCTAGTATGCTATACTGCTGGGCAATGTACTGGAGCAACCCATCGGTGACAATGCACTGAATGTTGATTTCGAGTAATTTCCCTTTGCTCAGATCAACGGCGTGCCTACACAACTTATCAAGAACAGATTTCATGTGGATCATATTCTCCGGAATGTGAAGATCCATGACTCGCCACATCGCCGGATGTCATTGAATTTAAATTTAACTACAGGAGGTGTTGATGAAATTTTTCATAAAGTAAATTGGATTACCAACTGAAAAAAAATGGTTGGCTCAAAATGAATGTACTGCATGTAACAATGGTAAGGAGTTACTATTCCCCATTTTGCTCTCTTGTTTGTTTGTGGTACCTCCAAGCAAGAAGCATTCCATTCCAACACACTGGACAATCACGATGCTGGAATTATGAACTTGAATGTTTGATTCTGCAGTTTTTGAATCGGAACAAGCACTAATCTTGAGGGTGATTGGATCATGGTTCAGGGCCTGGAGCCATGGCTTGGATAACATTGAGATACATCGATTGTAGCATTACGAAACGATATTGAGAGTTATACACAAAACGATGTAAAAAGAAGAAATTGCAATCATATTTTTTTGCTCTACCACTACTATCAAAGATCTTTACTCTTCACTTCTCTAAATTAATTGATTGGTTTATTTTGCACCGTGCTTTCAGGCACGAGTCACCCCTAGCATATAAGTTCATCCAACATGCTTCAATAAGTTCATCTAACAACCACCCATATTTCTCTTAAAACCATTTACATTAATTTATATTGTACCGTGCTTTTATGCACGAATTATCCCTAGCATATAATAAGACAGATTTTAATAAATTTATCAGACAATCTTAAATAAACTCATTCGACAGCTACCAACAGCTATTAAAACCATTCATATTGAATTTTTTCACTTCAAATTTATCATTTCTCAGTTACGTTGCACCGTGTGTTCCGTTAGTTTCAAAATAAATTACCTCGTATTTGATAATAAAAAAAAAACGTTAACCGAAAAGCTAAAGAAAGATACTTTTAAGGAAACTGTATATATATAACATTAAGTTTTGCAAAGCAGTTTTGTATTTGCCATTAATGACACCCTTGATATCAGCTCAAAACTTAAAAGCATTCATGGCTCCTCCGTCTATAAAAAAAAGGAGTTGAAATTAACATCAAAGTCCACCACCACCACCACAACAACAATGGCGACTGCTTTTGTACCTCTCCTCGTCTTCCTCTTCTGCATGGTCTCGAAATCAGCCATCACCGCCACCCCCGCACCGGCGCCACTGCCCCTCCGCAAAAATCTATCTCTTTCTCCCCCCACGGCGCCACACAAAGACATAACCCCGCCGCGAATCGAAATGACCAATGAATGCAACTACGTGGCCCTAATCAACTGTGCTCCCAACACCATATGGAAGTACGTGGACACTTCAGAGACTTGGACATTCAACACCACCGGAGTTTCCGACGTGACGGACTATATGTGCATGGTGGAATGGGATAACCCTCGGAACAATAACAACGGGTTCGGGCCAGTAGACGGGTATTTCTGTCCATTTCCTAAGAAAAAATGTGGGAGTAATTGTCGGTGGAGAATACAAGCGAATGCGAGGTATGCAGTTTATGATGAGTCTTCAAAGCAATGGATTGGTGAGCTTTATTGGGATAATCTGGCAGCAGCTGCTCAATTCTGCCAATCATGAGCGCGAGAGAGATCACGATGACTTATTAGATTAAACATGGAATAAAGTGGTGGATTTCGTTTTTATAAGAGAACGAGCTGTTTGTTAGCTTGTTATTTGTTAGTTTTTGCCAAGTGAGAATGTTTATGACATTGATTATGATATATGCAGTGAAGTTAAACAACCGGTAAACTCTGTGTTGAAAATGAAATAACACATTTTTTTTTTTGTAATGGTTAAAGATGTTTGAGTGTAATAGTGCTCATAATCAACTTACCCAATAACAAAATAATATGGCATAAGGCCTTGAGGGAATGAACATGTACGTATGAGATAGAAAGTGTACTAAGTGTAGTAGGTGAGACAAAGACAATAATATCCTATTTTCCAATAAGTGGTATAAGAATCATTACAAACAAAATAATTCCAACCGCAACTTTAACACACGCATTTCATAACTGTTTCATTCCTTGTTGAACTAGACACTAATTTCATGTCACTCTACTATCTTTAACTTTAAGACATTACTACCACAAACCTCAAATCCACAAAAATAAACCAAATTAAGACAATTTCTTATTAGAATACAAATCCTAGGAATCAATCATAGAAGGTTGTGTGCATATAGTAAGGAAGATTATGTGTAACTCAAGCAAACCACATAAGCAACAAATAAATACCCTTAATTATATATAGCACTAAATGCATATATAAATGAATTTCTAGTATGCTATACCGCTGGGCAATGTACTGGAGCAACCCATCGGTGACAATGCACTGAATGTTGATTTCCAGTAATTTCCCTTTGCTCAGATCAACGGCGTGCCTACACAACTTATCAAGAACAGATTTCATGTGGATCATATTCTCCGGAATGTGGAGATCCATGACTTGCCACATCGCCGGATGTCATTGAATTTAAATTTAACTACAGGAGGGGTGGATGAAATTTTTTCTAAAGTAAATTGGATTACCAACTGAAAAAAATGGTTGGTTCAAAATGAATGTACTGCATGTAACAATGGTAAGGAGTTACTATTCCCCATTTTGCTCTCTTGTTTGTTTGTGGTACCTCCAAGCAAGAAGCATTCCATTCCAACACACTGGACAATCACGATGCTGGAATTATGAACTTGAATGTTTGATTCTGCAGTTTTTGAATCGGAACAAGCACTAATCTTGAGGGTGATTGGATCATGGTTCAGGGCCTGGAGCCATGGCTTGGATAACATTGAGATACATCGATTGTAGCATTACGGAACGATATTGAGAGTTATACACAAAACGATGTAAAAAGAAGAAATTGCAATCATATTTTTTTGCTCTGCCACTACTATCAAAGATCTTTACTCTTCACTTCTCTAAATTAATTGATTGGTTTATGTTGCACCGTGCTTTCAGGCACGAGTCACCCCTAGCATATAAGTTCATCCAACATGCTTCAATAAGTTCATCTAACAACCACCCATATTTCTCTTAAAACCATTTACATTAATTTATATTGTACCGTGCTTTTATGCACGAATTATCCCTAGCATATAATAAGACAGATTTTAATAAATTTATCAGACAATCTTAAATAAACTCATTCGACAGCTACCAACAGCTATTAAAACCATTCATATTGAATTTTTTCACTTCAAATTTATCATTTCTCAGTTACGTTGCACCGTGTGTTCCGTTAGTTTCAAAATAAATTACCTCGTATTTGATAAAAAAAAAAAAAACGTTAACCGAAAAGCTAAAGAAAGATACTTTTAAGGAAACTGTATATATATAACATTAATTTTTGCAAAGCAGTTTTGTATTAGCCATTAATGACACCCTTGATATCAGCTCATAACTTAAAAGCATTCATGGCTCCTCCGTCTATAAAAAAAAAGGAGTTGAAATGAACATCAAATCAGCCACCACAACAACAATGGCGACTGCTTTTGTACCTCTCCTCATCTTCCTCTTCTGCATGGTCTCCAAATCAGCCATCACCGCCACCCCCGCACCGGCGCCACTGCCCCTCCGTAAAAATCTATCTCTTTCTCCCCCCACGGCGCCACACAAAGATATAACCCCGCCGCGAATCGAAATGACCAATGAATGCAACTACGTGGCCCTAATCAACTGTGCTCCCAACACCATATGGAAGTACGTGGACACTTCAGAGACTTGGACATTCAACACCACCGGAGTTTCCGACGTGACGGACTATATGTGCATGGTGGAATGGGATAACCCTCGGAACAATAACAACGGGTTCGGGCCAGTAGACGGGTATTTCTGTCCATTTCCTAAGAAAAAATGTGGGAGTAATTGTCGGTGGAGAATACAAGCGAATGCGAGGTATGCAGTTTATGATGAGTCTTCAAAGCAATGGATTGGTGAGCTTTATTGGGATAATCTGGCAGCAGCTGCTCAATTCTGCCAATCATGAGCGCGAGAGAGATCACGATGACTTATTAGATTAAACATGGAATAAAGTTGTGGATTTCGTTTTTATAAGAGAACGAGCTGTTTGTTAGCTTGTTATTTGTTAGTTTTTGCCAAGTGAGAATGTTTATGACATTGATTATGATATATGCAATGAAGTTAAACAACTGGTAAACTTTGTGTTGAAAATGAAATCACACATTTTTTTTTTATAATGGTTAAAGATGTTTGAGTGTAATAGTGCTCATAATCAACTTACCCAATAACAAAATAATATGGCTTAAGGCCTTGAGGGAATGAACATGTACGTATGAGATAGAAAGTGTACTAAGTGTAGTAGGTGAGACAAAGACAATAATATGAGTGATTGACCTTAACTGGAAGTGTGACGCCCCTAAAATCGGGGGTCATTTATTAACCGTTGACCAACTGTCAACCCGCGAAAATACCCGTGATAGTCGCACACTCGACTCCACGTTAATAACATCTCCTTTACCGAGATTTTAACTCACACGTAAAACCCGTTTTCATTTTATCCTTTTATCTAACCGTGGTACAATGTACCACAATTCATACTCCATTATAGTTCATTTATAACCTTGGAACCCAAGAACCCATAGCCCAAGAGCTTGGCAAAGTAATTTTAAAATTTTGGAAAGAGTACCTGTATATAATACCGGTACGCTTTGCCCACTAGACTTGGTTGTACCGATACTATGTACTGGTACTGTGAACCTTATGAAAAATCAGTACTGGAACGCTATATGAGATTGAGGAAATCAACTCTACTTTTTCATATACCTTTTGCAGTTGTTATATACACATACATGATAACAAACAGTTGTTTGAAATCCTAAAATATAGAGCAGTTTGAAATTGCTTCCTAACTCTAAGGAACAACTATTTCAACTGAATTCAAAATAGAGAAACTAAGGGATTGTTACAATCTGTTACAATCCTGTGATATGCCCTCTCAGGATGGAGGTCGAGATAGAAGTCCAATCTTGGATTTTAGATCTAGAAAACAAACATGGTGAAGAGGCTTGGTGAGGGCATCTACAAG